CAAAGCCAGCTGGGTGTCCTTGGGCCAGTCACTTTCTCTCAGCCCTAGGAAGGAGGCAATGGCAAACCTTGGCAAGAAAATGTCCAGGTAGTCTTCAGGAATCGGATATGATTGAACAGATTAAAAAAAATTATAATCCTCATGATTAATAACTATTGATGGCAGTAGCCTCCCAATATATGGTACAAGACTTTGAACCAGGTCTGCTTTGTTATGTTGCAAAGTAATGGAAAGAAAGCCTGAATAAATGGGGCATTTTCTTTTTTCATCCTCCCTGCACATGAAGATTAACCCATCTTTCATCAGGAATGAAGGTGAGGTTTGGACCTCATTATAAAAATATCTGGGTTAAGTTGTTGGACTAGATCCAGGAAGGACTAGGTTCAAATCATCATTTGACAGTGCAGCTTATTGGGGAATTTTGGACCAGTCCTACCTGCAGGAAAGATTGCCCCCATTAAAGCCTGGCAGATACTCTGCTATGGAATAAAATCCAAACTGCCAAACTTGGGAATTTTCATGCATGTATTTAAATGACAGCTATTTCTTTATATGAGATAAAATAAAGCAAGCATGCAAGCAATATCCAGATCCAGAGTGTATTGCCAGCCTTTAGGTGGGGATATTGATCATGTGTTTTTACTAACTATCTGCCACAGATATGTGTAGGTAAGATAGGTGGATTTATTTACAAGATTTATATCCTACCTTTCCCCAGGAACCCAAAGCAGTATACCTACTACGTCCTCCAAGGTTCTCACAACTCTGTGTTTGGGCTGAGAGAGTGAGTAGCCTAAAGTCACTCATTAAGTTTCCATTTGCCATGTTTCTCTATTGACCTGCTCTTAACTTTATAATGAATTTTTTAATATATATTTTGCTGATTAACAACTATAGAATAAGATACCTTTTTTCAGTTAGACTTTTTAATTTGGAATTTTGGAATCTAAAAGTAACAATGGCCATAATACAACAACTCTTTGGACAAATTTAGAATGTTAACATCTTATTAGCAATTTATTTTGTGGGAAGGGTTGCCCTAAGCCTGCATTCCCCCTCTTTTTTTTTTTTTATATACAGACTGATGATTGATCTGCCACTGCCATCTCTTGGATGGAAATAGATTTGCTAAATAAATGCCTACATTTTTGCCCTCTTGTGGACTGGTATTTACTCAAAATCCTGTAAAATATAAAATTATTCTTTGTAACATCTAAGATGTTCAATGTAGAATTTAAAGCTTAAAACTAAATCAATTTTCATGATTATAATATGAAAACTTTTAGATTTCACTGCTTCCCCATACTTTGTTATTGTAGTTGGTGTAATAGCTTTCATACCTCAATCTACGTTTCCTGGTAAATGGTAGTTTTAATTGTTTGTTAAAGGATGTGATCTCTCACTACTGTGTAAACCCATCATAGTTGAGTAAGGATCAGGCAAACGTTCCAAGATAAACGATCAAATCAGGACAGATGGGGATTGCCTTTGATGGCACTAGTGGTGGTTCTCCTAGTATGGTTCCTCATAGATCAGATTATACAGAGTCCCTTCCCTCCAGGAGAGTCATAATTTCAGACAAAATGCATTCAATAACATGGAATCTAATAATACTATGAGCATTTAAAAAAAAAACTATTAAAGATTATAACTGCAATAATAAAAACTAATGCAAACTAAAAGAAAGAAGAGT